GAAACAGTGTTAGTAACGGTTACACATCATATTCAGCCATTTAATTGTGTTTAAAGTCTAATAAGGACAATGATAGTAGATTGGTAATGAGGCAATTGAATTGTGAAATTTTGATATTTTACTAGTAGATTATGATTATATGTTTAACTAGAACTCGAGGTTGTATTTAAATAATAGATAATTCAAAATCGAGGGTAAAACCAATTGAATGTCACTAGTTGAATAATTATAACTGTAATCTGCATACTCATCAGGAGTCTTGGCCTCTCACATCCCTGGTGGACTTCCGGTTCTCTTCATCAACATAGTAAATTAGGCTATGGCTATCAACAGAGTTATTAATCATCAACCAAGTACACTGTCTCTGTTTATTCAAATGTTACCCAGAGGAGGGAGAGTCTGACCTGAGTGATAAATTATTTTCAGCAAAATAAACACAAACTAGTACAGGTTAAAATAATGTTTTTATTTCTAACAATCAGTGACTATAAGAAATCTAACAACGTTGCAAACACAACAAACTGCAAAAAAATAAACATCAGGTAGAGTAATACTGATAATTTGGAATGAGGGGCAAGGGGTTTTAGAGTCCATTTAAATGGGAGGATTAGACTACAAGTGTGGGCGCACCATAGGTTATGATTTTCAAAAAAGGGGTGGGGGGGTGGGGGGGGGGGGGGGGGGGGGTGGGGGTGGGGGGCTGAGCTGAGGCATAGGCTCTGTTGCGATCAGACACTGCAGCCAGGGGTTTCTGACGGCAGAATAGAGGAAGAGGCCTGTCTGTAGACTCACTTCCAAAAGATTTTACGTGGAAAGAGTCGCGTTGCTCGGGTAAAAGACGGCACTTAGCATTTAGTGTGCTGCTTTTAAAGGGGTATGAGGGTGGTGGGCAGTCCTGCCTGCATCACAGCTTTTGCTTCAGCTCATTCGTCTCACAGGTGTGACCCCTGGAGGTTTGGTCTGCTCGCATGATTGTCATCTGAGCTGTTGGATTTTCTGGAAGGAATGTAAACTACAGCGCAGTCAGGGGGCCTGCTCACACCTGCGCAGTCATGGTCTGCCCATGCCCATCTTAAAGGGACCTGCTTATGAGTCATTCAGTGGTCAGACTGTAATTATTTCAGCAGTGTTTGTGCCACAACAACAGATCCGGAAAGGAGATTGATATCAGGTAGATTTTTCAAGTTAATTTTATCTTCATTATCTAAATGTTTCCACAGAACTTATTTGATTATTTGAACTAAACTGCACTACAACAATTTCATTTTTTTAGGGCGAAAATGCTCCTCCATAGTAACTTAGAGGAAGAATTTATTTCCCCATTTATTTTTGCCACCTTTATGCTTAAGTGCTGCACCTCAGACATGAATGCTGGAGCTTTTCTGTTTGTTTAGGAGCAGAAATGCAAAACAGAAAATGAGGATGATGGTAAAGCGTTGGAGGTGAAGACTTAAAATACATCAGTGATCACTTTCAATGTCAGTGTTAGGTTATGACAGATATGACAGAGTATGAGTCTAACTACAACTGCACATCAGATGTTAAAAATCTATATGTCTGAGAAAAAGTCTTAACAGATGCTGTTTTTTACCTTTTGGCAGTCATCTGCTGATGCTGGATATAACCATAATGAAATGTCATCAAGGGTCTGTGGAGGGAGTCAAAGTAAGGGAGAGATGGCAGCTGACCCATAGATGCTGTAAGACAGAGTAACAAAGAACAGAAGGAAGGTTTGGAAAGAGCAACAGAACACCGAGCTGTTAGCTTGGCTATTAGATATCGGAGGTATGACTTTTGTATCTTTGGCAAAATCCATCCATCCATTTTCTTCCGCTTGTCCGGGGTCGGGTAGTAGGGGTAGTAGCTTCAGTATGGAGGCCCAGTCGTGCATCTCCCCAGCCACTTGGGCAAGCTCCTCCAGGGGAATCCTAAGGTGCTCCCAGGCCAGCTGAGAAACATAGTTCCTCAAGCAAGTCCTGGGTCTCCCCCTGGGCCTCTTCTGTGCCTGGAACACCTAACCAGGGAGACGTCCAGGAGGCATCCTAATCAGAGGCCCGAGCCACCTCAACTGGATACTCTCGATGTGGAGGAGCAGCGGCTCTATTTCAAGTCCTCCATGGATGACTGAGCTCCTCACCCTATCTCGAAGGGAGAGCCCAGACACACTACGGAGAAAACGCATTTCAGCCGTTTGTATCCAGGATCTCATTCTTTCGGTCATGACCCAAAGCTCATGACGATAGATGAGGGTAGGAACATAGATCAACCAGTAAATCGAGACCGGTACAGCGCATGCTTCACAGCAGACGCTGCACCAATCCGCCTATCTCCCGCTCCTTCTTCCCCCCCCCCCCCCCCCCCCCCCCCCCAACCTGGAGAAGGCACTCTACCCTTTTCCAGCTCAAGACCATGGTCTCAGATTTGGAGGCACTGATCCTCATCCCGACAGCTTCACACTCAGCTGCAAACCGCTCCAGTGAGAGCTATAGATCATGCCCTGATGAAGCCAATAGAACCACATCATCTGTGAATAACAGAGATGCAATCCTAAGGCCACCAAAACAGATCCCCTCAACACCTTGGTTGCGCCTAGAAATTGTGTCCATAAAAGTTATGAACAGAATTGGTGACAAAGGCCAACCTTGGCGGAGTCCAACCCTCACCGGAAAAACTAATCTGACTTACTGCCGGCAATGCGGACCAGGCTCTGACACCGGTCGTACAGAGACCTAACAGCCCTTATTAAAGGGCCTGGTACTCCATACTCCCAGAGTACCCCCCAAAGGACCCCCCAAGGGACACGGCCTTCTCCAGATCCACAAAATACATGTAGACTGGTTGGGCAAACTCGCATGTACCCCCCAGAATCCTGCTGAGGGTGTAGAGCTGATCCAGTGATCCACGACCAGGACGAAAACCACACTGCTCCTCCTGAATCCGAGATTCGACTATCTGACGGACCCTCCTTTCCAGAACCCCGGAATAGACCTTACCAGGGAGGCTTAAGAGTGTGATTCCTCTGTAGTTGGAACACACCCTCCGGTCCCCTTTTTTAAATAGAGGGGCCACCACCCCAGTCTGCCAATCCAGGGGAACTGCCCCTGATGTCTACATAATGTTGCAGAGCCGCGTTAACCAACACGGCCACACAACATCCAGAGCCTTAAGGTACTCAGGTAGAATCTCATCCACCCCTGGGACCTTGCCACTAAGGAGCTTTTTAACCACCTCAGTGACTTAAGCACCAGAGATGGGAGAACCCGAGCCGGAGCCCCCAGGCTCTGCTTCCTCAATGGAAGACGTGTTGGTGGGATTAAGGGGGTCTTCGAAATACTCCATCCACCGTCCTGACTTAAGGTCAGCAACACCCCACCCTCACTATAAATAGTGTTGGTACTGGACTGCTTCCTCCTCCTGAGACGCCGGACTGAGGACCAGAATCGCTTTGAGCCTGTACGGAAGTCTTTCTCTCCGAACTCTTCCCCACGCCCGAGATTTTGCCTCAGCGACCAGCCGAGCCACCTGCCGCTTTGACTGTCGGTACATATCAGCTGCTTCTGGAGTCCCACAGGTCAATAAGCCAGATAGGGCTCCTTCAAAATGTTCCACTCATTTTCATGGATTTGTTTGAGAAGAAGGAAGCTTATATAACCTTTTATTGGCCAAACTGTGTTTTAGTTTGGAGCCAAAAACGGATCACACTGAAGTCAGATCTGGGCAAAATTTTAATGAAATGTGATCAACCAAACAAAAAATTAGATTTCAGAAAAAAATAATGGATATGAGCATTATGACCTGCTGTGGGAACATAGTCTAAAAGGTGCTGAACACTGGTGCTCTAGGGCCCGAGCTGAAGACCCCTGAGTGTCAGATGATATTTCACTTCAACATGGAGAAAATCAAACTTCAACTTAAAGTATCATGAAACAAAATATTTACGTTTGTTCAAATGTGTGATGTTACAGTATCGGTGTATGTTAACTTTTAATGAGTTCTGAGGTTTGAAAATGAAATCTGTTTAAGAAAATATGCTTTTAAGTGTAAAGCTGAGATGAGCTGAGAGGTTGTTTGGTTGATGACATCATTGTGTGGCGGAAGCATCACAACAGGCTGCCTGGTTTAACAGAAACTTTATGTGAAAATATTCTAGTTTATCATTTTTTTTATCATAAATTGAAAATGCTAATGTGGTAAATGACTATTCTAGCTCCAAATGTTTGGTTTTTTGTGCAATATCTACATAGGCGTATAGAGGCCTATTTCCAGCAACTATCACTCCAGTGTTCTAATGGTACAAAGTGTTTGCTCATTGGCTCAGAAGGCTAATTGATGATTAGAAAACCCTTGTGCAATAACATTCACACATCTGAAAACAGATCAGCTCGTTACAGAAGCTACAAAACTGGCCTTCCTTTTAGCAAATTGGCATTCTGGAACATTTGTGGGGTCAATGAAATGTTAAAATGGCCAGAAAAAGAGAACTTTCTTTTGAAACGCGACAGTCTCTTCTTGTTCTTAGAAATGAAGGCTATTCCATGTGAGAATTTGCTAAGAAATTGAAGATTTTCTACAGCGGTGTGTACTACTCCCTTCAGAGGACAGCACAAACAGGCTACTGTGGGTACTATTTAATGAAGATGCCAGTTTTGGACTTGTGAGGCATCTGTTTCTCAAACTAGAGACTCTAATGTACTCATTTTCTTGTAAGTTGTGCAACAGGGCCTCCCACTTCTTTTTCTACTCTGGTTAGAGCCTGTTTGTGCTATACCTATACAGCTAGAATAGTCATTTACCACATTAGCAATGTATAGAGTGTATATCTTTAAAGTTAACACTAGTTTAAAGTTATCTTTATTGAAGAGTACAGTTCCTTTTCTTCAAAAATAAGGACATTTCAACGTGGTCCCAAACTTTGGAATGGTAGTGTATAAATGATAGATCTTCTTTATCCACTGTGTCTGTGTTCAGATTGAATATTTCTGGTTCTGTTTTATCATCTGTCACTGCAGATCAAACATCTGTTTTAAAGAGAGCTGGAGATGAAGTCACATTGAAATGTTCAACAGTGATCGATGGTCAACAGAAGTGTAACAGCACTACATGGATCTTCACTGATTCAGGAAACAGAGCATCAGTAGAGCTGGTTACCCTCGGTCAGATTAATAATGACATCACTAAAGCAGACAGACTGAGTCTAACAGCAGACTGTTCTCTGGTTATAAAGAAGGTCAGAGAGGAAGATGCTGGACGTTATTACTGTGAACAATGGAAATTTAGAGGAGCACACGAACCAGTTAATGAGTCTGCTGTAGATCTGTCTGTTCTTAACAGTGAGTGTTAATATTTATTAAATTATTGTTTTTGTATTTAAAAGTCAAATCATTTTATGCAGCAATATTTAGAAATGATTAGTGATGGAGGTCATTTGTCTGATTTAGTGTTTTATTGTTTCTCTCTTCCTTAGTAATTAAACAGGAGAACCAGAGGGTGACATTAAGCTGCTCTGTGGTGACCTTTGACCTCTGTAGATACAAAGTGAAGTGGTTTAATCAGGATGTGGACAACAAAGAACCACCATCAGAGACTGGCTGCTCTGCTACTGTCTCTTTATCATCAGGGTTTGAGTTCCCTCAGTGTAAAGTGACTGATACTGTTACTGATGAAGAGTTTACCTTCAGTCTTCAGTCCTCAGGTGAGAAACAGGTTAGAGGATGATCAACAGAAGAAGATCACTGACATCACAGGAAACTAGGATTAGATTCAAGATTAGGACACAACTGGACTATTTTCTCATGTATTAATAATCGGATTGTTATGAATGACCAAAATCAACTCATATATTTATTTAATCTGTCTAATACTTTGAAAGAGTTTTAAATACTAACATATGAACAGTTTTGGTTGCTGACACTTTGTTCTTGTTTCCAGAAAAATCAGGAGGAAAAGTTCAACCCACAAACAAACCTGGAAACAAAAGCTCAAAGACAACCAGACCAGAAACCGAAAATATCTCACCAACCTTTCAAGGTAGTGATTGTTCTAATGTTTTAGTATATTTCAAAATCGTGATCATATGATGTATATTATAATCTGCACATTTTGGCCTTTTTTCGTCTCAGGTGATTAGAATTAGAGACATATAAGGTTTTCCAACTGCAGATAAATTTGGCCTGAATTAGATATTTTTGGAGTCAAGGCTTTTAAAAAAAGTGGAATGGCTCAGAATTGGCCCATTAATGGCCCCCGTCTGAGTTTGTTTTTTTTTTTGTGTTTTTTTTTGTAGTCAGATTTGAACCCCATTCATATTTGGTCCTGAATCTGACTCTTATATGATGTTTTTTAATGTGACTCCAATGGCAACGATTGAGGAAGTTTAGATTTAATTTGAATATCACTTTCCACTGGATTCATCAGAACTTAGATCTTCTCAGCAGGAAACAGTAGCAGTTGGTAAAACAGAAGGAGGCCTGAAATATAACTGGACAGTGGAGAGACAGAGAGACATTAGAGCTCGTTAATAAACAGATATAAACTTTCTCCTTGTTTCTAGAAATATCAGGAGGAAACGTTCAACCAACAAACAAACCTGGAAACACAAACTCAAAGACAACCAGACCAGAAACAGAAAATATCTCACCAACCTTTCAAGGTAGTAATTGTTCTAATGTTTTACAAATATTTCAAAATCATGATCATATGATCTAAATTATAATCTGCTCATTTTGGCCTTTTTTGGCTCTAGAATTAGGGAATAAAATCATGAAATAAGATTAAAAAAAAAAAATCTGATAAAACTTTACTTATAAGTTAAACTTATACGTTTAAAAGACACTGCTGCATTTCATTACAAAATATTTAGAAACTTTGTTTCTTATTTTTCCTGGAAACTGAAAAAAAAAAAAGCCACTCCAGGAAACAAGGACCCAAAGCAAACAGTTGGGAGCAGGAGAACTTCTGTCACAACAAATCAAGGTTTGACCCAATTATACTCAGTAAATTAATATGAATACATGAGTGGTTTGTCTTGAGCTCCTGTTATCATGTTGTTGTTATTTCAGTCATCTTTATACATACTGTGGTGATCATGACATGGAGAGTTAGGAATGAGAGTTCTGACTGATAAAACCACAAATACATCCTTCTAAATTATACTTTTTCTGAGTTAAATCAGACTCGCAGTTTTAAAAGACATCATCAATGTTAATTAAAGTCACTTCATCCTCCATAGACTGGGACAATTTAGAGCTTTGATTAATTTATTGCCATTGTCAAGGTAATTTTGTGGGATATAACTTAGAATTAGTGAACGTTGTCAACCTCACCTGCAATAGTGTCATGTTTATAATCATCTATGCCAGGACTGGTTTCCTTCTTTTCATGCTATGTGGATGTATCTAATGGAAAGTAAAATAGTGTCTGTACCTCCACTCTGGAATCCCCATCTTTCCCCCTGAAGCAGCCATTGCTGCAGCTCACCTCTGCTAGTTTCTCTAAGCAGGGCTGCTGTGTGAGTGTGAGGTTTATAGGGAAACTAGCTGAACAGTAACTGAGTGAACTTTTCCTGGTCAGAGAAATAATCAAAAGATAACAGCAGCAACGATTCAGGGTAAATCATGAAGTCATTTCTCTTTGTTTTCATATAAAAGATAAATCTAGTTTATATTCCACACACAATCATGTTTCTCTATGCATGTGGAGAATTTTCATTGACTTCCATCATTTCTAACTAATTTCTACAGCCTAACTGTGGCTCTAAACCTAAGCATTATGTGTTTATACCTAATCCTAACCTCATCCTAAACTCAATTCATACCTTAGTTTTTAAACTCACCTTAAAACGGCGTCTGTGTCCATGGCGACCAGACGTTGGTCCCTACTAGAGCAGTCGGTCCTCAGAATGTGCCATTATTTATGGAAAACGGTCCCCACAATGTAAGAAATACATGCCCCCCCCCAACACACACTCACACACAGATGGTGATTTTATTTCCTCTCTCATAAATTTTCGAGTTTCTTAAATAATTTTTTACCATCAGTTCTAGCTTGATTCTATTCTGACAAACAGTTTAAAAAATGTAAATCATCTGACTTCTAATAAAGTAAAATATCATTTTAACCTTTGATTACAGAACATTATTTCTTGTTTCTTTTTCAGGTTTATGGCGTATCATCATCGTCTCTGTAGGTTTAGCAGCTCTTTCTATAACGGTTGTAAGCATCAATGTTTGGACCAGAACTAAAGGTAAGATAGAAAGAAATAAAACAGTTTTATAATCTATTGAATCAGAATCCTCACTTCATTTTTAATTGATTATATCCATCGGTATAAATCTCAAAATACACTTTGATTTGCAAAAAATATGGTTTATTGTGTTTGTTCTCTTCTAACACCTGTTGGTGATTAAGTTGGAGATTTTAATGTCAAGTTTTTAAACTCGTCTGTTTCCATCTTATCTCATACAATTCAGTAAAAATGAGTGTTGCGTCGATGCCATTTTTTGGCCCCGATACGATACCTGGCTGTGCAGTATTGGCCGATACCGATACCATCTATTTGAAATTAGTTTGTGTGTGTATATATGAAGAACTGCATACTACTTGGATGTAAAATAATTTTCATCATGGCTTTGTCAAGCTGCTGCCTACCTTTGTGAAGCAGGAAAAAGACTAATACAAGGTGGATCCAGTAGAACTTTTTATTGCCTACCTGGAATGGGGGACAATAGTTAAATAAACTTTTGGTTCTCAAAATGGTATCAGTGCCCTATTTGTTGGTACTTGCCGATACCGATACCACCACTTTAGTGTTGGATCGGGGCCCCGCCCCGATACTGTTTCGCTGCAACACTAGACAAAAAATTACAAATTTAGCACATGCAACCATTAATGACACATTTAATTGTGTTACATGTATACCAGTGGCGGCCGGCCCATAGGGGGCGCTGGGGCACCGCCCTCCCTGATAAGAAGAGAGAAACGTAAAATATATTTTTAGAAATTAACTCATAAATGTCAGTTTTACTCTCTAGAGTGTGTACCTATAAGCAAAACAAATTATATAAACTACATTTCCCTACCTACTGTCATTCATTTGTGGATTTCCACAGACAGACTCCTACCGTCTCTGTCTTGGGGCGCTGATCGGACAGACCCACATTTGCAGAGAATCTGTCAATCATGTACTATTGCTAGGTGAATTTAATGGCCAATCAGCGTCTCAGAACTTTATGGTCTTGGGGCTCTGAAAATACTGCGCTTTTACAGGCTTCTGAACCCAAGCGCAGGTGCAGACAATTAGAGGGACAATGGCGAACGTAACGAACGAGATGCAGCTTCCACCAAATTTGGTGAGATCCTTATTTATCTACCCGTTTGCCAGAAGAACATCCCTGTTGTAGGATATGAAAATTTCCTGTCATGGTTATTGTGACTGTGACGAATCCACCTTGTCGCTTAAAACTTTGCGTGCCACACACACATTCCTGTTATACTGTGCTTGTGAGGACCAATCCGCTCGCGCTGAGACCAGTAGCTCCATTAACTTAAAACACACAAGCTGTTCCTGGTTACCTGCTGGCGTATTGAGGGTGCACACTTAATATTTCAGTGGGGTTAGCCGTGTGTGTGTGTGTGTGTGTGTGTGTGTGTGTGTGTGTGTGTGTGTGTGTGCGCTACGGGGACTTGTCATCTTCAGTCTGGCTGCGTCTTTGCTGGGTTCAAACCCAGTTTGGTGTAATTGAATAAGTCAATGAATCTGTGTAAAAGAATTAAGTTGTAAAAATTATTTGTTTTTGTACATCAATTGTTTGTGGAGGTAATATATGGACAAAACTGATTTATGAGAAGAAATCAGAAATAAGAGAGCCTGAGGGTAGGGGCTTAAACTATTTAATGAGGGCTGTGGGAAGAAGAGCGGCCATTTCTGTTTTCTGTTTCTTTGTTACATTGCTGGTAACTGGAGGGAGGCTGAGGCCCAGAGGATCTTGTATATGTTTAGTTTCTTTTGCACCCTGTGTTGAGTTTTTGAGCACAATAAATCACCAACACAGGTAACCCGACTGAGCCTGGATTCTTGGAGGCCAAAGAACCCCGTCACAGTGACCAAAATCATTACTGTTACTGTTATTATATAGTAAATTAAATCATTACTGTTAAATTGTATGTATTGTGCAATTGTTTATTTGAATTCTTATTCCGGATTAGTTGGAGACATACACTAGGCTATATCAGCCCCACCAAAAATATTTTTCACCAGCCGCCACTGATGTATACTTAAGTGTTTATTTCTGAACAGGGTTATGAAGTATTGAAACTTATTTAATCATATCCTCACCTTGTGCATGTTGTGCTATTTTTCGTCTGTCTACATTAAATGTGTCTAATATATAGTCTCATATATTAACTTATCTCATTATTCTAACTATAATTTTAGAATATATCATGTAATATAAATCCCTTTAATGTCCCACAATAGGGAAATTCACTCTGTGCATGTTGGTCCATCCCCTTGGGGATAGGTGGGCCACCATTGTGTGGCGCCTGGGGAGCAATCAGGGGTTAAGGGTTTCGCTCAGTAACCCAGAGTGGAGGCTGTGGGGGTCGAACTACATACTTGCAACCTTCTCAGGGCACAAGCGCTCTGCTCTAACCCACTAGGCCACCAATTACCTCCATGAGCTTTTATGCCTTTCTGGGGATGACATCTGCTACCAGTGCAGACTGCTGGGTCTGGAAATTCATTAATTTATCATCAAAAAGATGATCTGTGTTCGATTCAGATGTTCTGCTAGTGGTTTGTTTCTGTAGGCAGCAGGAGATGCTGAAAGTCTGAGCAAAGACACTATTTGCTGCATTATCAGAAGACTAATTAGCAATAAAAGGAGATACAGATATCTTTATAACCTTCATAAGCCACAGAAGAAAGACAAACTACATGATGTAGGGATTCTACAAAATTGCACATAGCATGAATTAGACTACAGAGAAACTTTGGAACAAATGGGCTACTTTTTATTATTTTCAATACAGGATTCCTTCATGTTATTGTTATATTTAAACACACATTAAGAGATAACATCCCTCTGTAACAAATGGGGATTTTTAATATTGTAACAAAACAGAAATTATATAAATCATATTATAGATCATTTTCATTAAGTTATCAGGGTTTGATCCAGATATTCCTGCATTAAAGGTTAGACAACTGAACCCGAGACAGACTGAATATTAAGAGAAAATCTAATATAAATCTATAAACTGTGAGATCTGCATATGTTGCCTTTCTTGCTTCCATTGTTCATTTTTAGGTTAACAGTCATTCTTTTGAGAATTACATGAAATAAATCCTTAAATTGTGGCATTCACTTCATAGAAGCATTTAGAATGTGTATTTTAGGCTAATTAAAATATTTATTATAATTATATTTATTTTAGTTAATCTGCTATCCTTGTTGAATCAATGAATCTGTGATCGACCTCATGGTCTCTGGAAGAAAACTGCAGACCTGCATTTACCTTTATTATTTACACCTGACTTTATGAAGATGCAGGAATAAAATCAGAGGCATGTTTGACTAAACCAAAAGTCTGATGCATGAGCCTGGCTTTATCTCTTATTCTTGGAATGTCATAATTTATATATATATATTT